GGCCATTGCAGGATCCACTGGTGTTCCTTCTGCCTCGGTAAACATAACAATCCCACTTTCAACTGGTGTCTCTTCCGGGATATTACCCGCAGCATCTGCCAACTCCACAGCGATTGAAGGAACAGGATCTGTCACCATCCCGGAAGCTTCTAGCAATGTTACAGTCCCTCTATTCACTGGATTCAGTGCATCTGAAACAGTACCAGCAGTCTCAGTGAATTCCACTGTCGCGGTCGAAACCGGATCGGTCGTCATCCCAACCGCATCTGCCAATTCGACTATTGCCGTGGGAACTGGATCGATAGTTGTTCCTCCACTATCTGCTAATTCAACGGTAGCTATAGGTACAGGATCAATTATCATTCCAACAGCGTCTGCCAATTCAACAGCAGCTGCAGGGACAGGATCAATTATCATTCCGGCAGTATCTGCCAACTCTACAGCAGCTGTAGGCACAGGATCAGTTGTTGTACCGATAGCATCTGTCAACTCTACTGTTGCTATAGGAACAGGCTCGATCGCTATCCCGACAGCATCTGCCAACTCCACCATTGTTGCGGGCACTGAATCAGCAGTAATTCCCACAGCATCTGGCAATTCCACTAATCTTGCTGGCACTGGTTCGGTAGTGATCCCTACAGCATCTGCTAACTCCACCATTGTTGCGGGCACTGGATCAGCAGTGATTCCCACAGCATCTGGCAATTCCACTAATCTTGCTGGCACTGGTTCGGTGGTGATCCCTCCAGCATCTGCTAACTCAACCGCCAATGCGGGAACTGGATCAGTAGCTATCCCGACCGCATCTGCCAACTCCACTAATCTCGCCGGCACTGGCTCGGTAGTGGTCCCAACAGCATCTGCCAACTCAACTACTATTGTGGGAACTGGATCCGTTGCAATTCCAATTGCGTCCGCTAATTCCACCGTCGCAGCGGGAACCGGATCAGTAGTGATCCCAACAGCTTCAGCTAACTCGACGATCATTCTTTCTACTGGCTTCTCAGCAGTGTCTTCAGGCATACCTACCGGTTCCGCCAACTCGTCATTGCCCTTCGTCACCGGCACAGGCTCTATTATAAGCGCATCACCCAGTCCTTCCGGAAATTTCTCCAATTCGGACGCAGATCGTTCGGGTCGTTTCAGTAGAACATCCTCGGGGACTGCACCTATCTCCGCCAACTCGACTGCCTTCCTACCAACCGGCACTGGATCCACGCCAGCCTCTGCCACACCTACCGTTTCCCTCAATGCCACATCTGATGCTTGCCCAACTGAAGCAACCCCATTTGTGACCGTCCGAACCGTTCTCATCACGGAAACAGTAACACCAACATGTGTGCCTACCGCTAATGGAGGCAATGCTTCCCTCCCATTCCCTACTGGAACCGGAGCTGGCACGCCATTGCTGCCCACGTACTCTACCACCTTGACTGGTAGCCTGGCATCAGCTTCTGCTGCCATTTCTAGCCGACGACGGACTGGAGAGGTAGCAACACAGGAGCAAATTGACGCTGCATGCGCAGACCGGGACAACGTCCTGTACAACTCGAACTTCGAGATCGATGATGACAACAACGCATTTGGCTGGGACACAAACCCCGATGACTCTTTCATCAGCTTCCGCACATTCCCTTCGGACGAACAGCACACGCCGAACGGTAAACGCAGCGGTCGCGTTCTCTCTGCTGCTCCCGGACGTGGAATCTCCATTTCACAGCCCGTCACTCTCTGCCCTGGCAAGCAGTATCGCCTTTCGTCTTTCAACAGACAAGCTAACGTCCTAGCACAATGTTCGATCGAATACTCTCTCGGAAATGACGACATCTACACCGCAAGCCCACAGGAAGCCTGGCTTGAAAGGTCGGCATTCTACACTGCTGGGGCCACACCCGCAGACGTCAGCGTCGACCTGAACGTCCGCATTTCCTGTGCAGGCGAGGGCGGCGCAGCAACAGGTACCGACGATGCCGGCTACATGGTCGCGGAGTTCGACGACGTGAGCCTAGCGCAGGTCTGATGAGCGGAGGATAGACTTGATAAGCGTTGTACATTGCGAAAAGATTGCATGACCAAAATGTAGGACGGTGGGGGAGCAGGTACGAGGATCGTATGAGCAAAGAAATTGGAGCTGGACATGGAAGGTAAACAATGGGTTTCACGAGTTTTCCTTTTTTCACCATGGAAGGGTCTACCTTGCGAATATGAGAAACGCACTGTAAGATCACCGCCCACGCGTTGTTTGAGGGTGAGCGCACGCACATGCTTGGATGGATTGTAGGGAGGCGCTTATCGTATCACCATCATGATTATCATGATAATTACTAGTAGTATACTTATCCCACTTTTTTCTATTTTCGATACATGTAATGCAAAAATTTCATTTGCCGCTTCAATAGTTGCACAAAAATTGCCAGTGTTAAGCCTGGAAAGAATTGATTGGATTGGTGATGCTGTGCATGCATTTGATGATGCGGAAGTAAGTCTTGAAAGTTCATTATCCTAATCGAGCACTCTACGTCTGGATGCAACACGACAATATGCATAAATCTATAGCGTCAACACCTAACGACTTGATACGTTGACCGAAACAACCCCATACAGCATGCATATATGGAGTACTTACTAATTACGCCGCAACAAGTGTTGAAACGAAGATGCTGGTCTGCGGAGAGGGACCAGTCCTGTATAGTGGGGCGCTAGCTTGCCGTATGCACATAATTCTTCTTTAGAATAGAGCAGAGTGAATTCTTCAAGGTTATGATTGGCTGGGGGTAGCTTGCCGGTACGGAACGGTGAGTAGAATGCAGGCCGTAGCGGGTAGTCCCGAGATATGGAGAATCAATTCTGGAACAATTGGCTAGAACGAGGGCGAACGATGACCCGAAGGCTTCTTCTTTGAGTTGTGGCTATAGGCTGGCGCTTCTACGGCGTCAACAGACTCAGCAAGATCTGTCAAGTACAGGATCTTGCAGGATCATTCGATCACATGGAGAATGTGTTGGATTATAGCAAGCAGAAAGTACAATCGTTCGTAACTGAGCGGCGGAAGTGTTTATTGGTTGCGACGGTTTGACAGGATCAAATATCTAGCAGCATACGAGCGTGGTGACGACGAATAGGCGGTGATTTCAGCATAGGACATAGGACGAGGTGAAGTGTTTGTCGCCGTGCTCAGAAGTCTTGAGCATGGGCAAATGAAAAGGGCTCTAGGCGGGAAGCGCGAATGACTTGAACACGACGTTTAGCGATCTGATTGGTCACTGGAGTGCCTTACATGTGTCCCAGATATGCACACAAATACGTCTGCTGCCCAATACATCCATTATGAGCATTCGATCGATGAAGTTTTACTCCACGCCCTGCATCAGTACTTGCTCAACAACTCAGCAACTCTACGGCTAGCCGCCCTATTGGCCATGCAGTGCAGTATGGACCCGCCGCTTCCCCCTGTCTGCGCAATTCGGACCGGACTTCAATGTTGTACAGAAGCGTCAAGTTTGTCGAAAGGGTTAAGCGCCAATTCTTCTCGCCATTGAGAGTTCTGGCAGAGGTACTTACTGCGTACTCAAAAGGTCGAAGAAGCCCGCACCCTCTGAATGACCCTTTTCCGAGCTAGCGAATCCAAGGACCGCGAAACGAAAACCGACAGAATGCCGGAACGACATCCATTGAAGTAAAGACTATGAGAAAGAATCAGGCCTCATACTCATATTCCCTTACCACAAGATCTGGCGTGGATTCAACGAAGGGCCCGATCGACCGCATTGCAGGCCAGTCAGAGACCGCCACGTAGGTTAGGAGCTGTCTGCCTTCTTTGCAATGAGTAGGGGGTCCAAATGGTGAGTTGGTTCTGTCGTTCCAGAGTTTGAACGATGATAATATGCTCGAGATCCCCTCTACTGACTTGTACAAGGCACAAGAAAGTTATCGAACGCTCACGAACATGACAAGCACCGACCTGCGACCCGCAAGAGACCGGACGAGACGAATGATCTCGTCTAGCCTGAGGCAACTCCAAAGGATTCTTGACAGATCACAGGCAGTCGATACGATGATATTGTTGCTCCTCATGAGGTTCTGCAACCAACGGAGCCCCCCTCTGTCGAGGAGCCACCTACGATACGATGGGCAACAAATAAATCAAGGAACAAATAGGACGGACAAGTCGCGTGCCGTGGGAAGAGGTTGCAGCATATTGATGCTGTGCAGGAATTGCAGGTGGCAGGGTGCGCGTCTCGCAGGATAAATTGATGCATTCGACAAATACAAGAACAGGTGCAGGAGAGCATGCAGCAGCTGTGGTGTTGAGGAGTCAATAAACGACGTCCCGTTGAAGGCTCAGGGTTGCGTCCCTCCCGGCGCTTTCTCGGCACGATTGGCTGACCTGATTGAGTTAGTGGCATGATCACGTGGATGGCGAAGCGAACCTCGAATTTTGCCCCTCAGTTGCTCCTACAACGCAACAAACACTTACTTCAACACGGCAACCAAAACACGCCTCCGTCATCATCAACTTCGTCGTCATCATCATCATCTTCTTCTTCTTCCTCTTCATTGACCTACCAAGATCAATGCAGTAGCTGGTCGAGACCTATCATGGCAGGTACGGAGCGACACCTTCCTGCATAGTTTTTCCGACTGTTGGGCTGTGTGCTCTTGTCGTCGCCGGTTCCTCATATACATATATAATTTACTCAAACCATTCCCGCCCGCATACGCGCCACCCCGACACTACTGCTCCGCAAATATGTCACCGACCGCTCGCTGGATCCAAGTCCAAGAGGTCACGGCACACTGACACTGGGCTTTCTTCCATCACTGGGGGCTCCATGGAGGGGAGGCGCCGGACTGCTGCCGTCAGTCGGCCCGTGCCCTCCGTCAATCCCCCACTTCTATTTGCGGCTACGCGACATCACGGATTGGACAGCCTTGGCCCCCATTACAACACCCAGCGGCTACATCATATTCACCAGAGACGCAACCAATCATGCAATTCACAAGAAGAAATCGTTGCATCGTTAAAACCTAAACTATATGATATCGAAAAAACCGGCGGATTGTAAGAGGTAACGCCCGGTCTTCTCCCCATCCGTCACCTCCCCCTTTTCAATATCAGTCGTTTCCGTGTCATCCTATTCCCAGACTCCCAAAATGACTGGATTTGGTTCATAACAAACCCCATTTCGATGTACCTGAAACCCAATTCCCAGACGCCCGCGCAATGACTACATCACAAACGTTCCCGTGGTGCCGATTACAGTCTCAGTAGCCCGTCTGGGTGCCAATGCCCTGGAGTCTACGGTTGCGCTCGCAGCTCAGCTCATAGATCTCGCCATCCAATCCTCGAATCAAGTCCATCGATTTGTCAATTGACGCACGGAACTTGCTCCCTTCGCGCTGCCATCGGTTGACTCGGTCAACCTCGGCGGCCCGGCGCCGCATCTTTGTATCGATCTTCTCGCACAGCTTACACTTGGAGCCCACTGGTACCGTTTGCATGATGAGCTTCATACCACATGTTTCACCAATTCGGTACTCCTTGGCACAGTGTTGTCGGAAATGGCCCCACTTCCAATCGCCGCAGACAAATCGATGTTGATCGAAGAAGCACATGTTTCAAGAGCTTGGAGTGGATCTGCAATGATATAAGTTTGCAAACTTTCTCAATGTTTGGCTGACAGCTGTTCTCGACATACCTTGTGTTGCTATGCTCAAACACGGAGACCTTTTGATTGGGCCGACACAGATGATACTGGAATGGATTAATCTCAGGGGTCCATGTCAACATTGGAAAGATTGGCTTGACATACAAGACAATTGGTTGAGAAGACACAATACCTCGTGGTCTGTGTTGTTGATGGCTGAGGAAGACAAAGACAGGAGAAGGTTCGGTGTCTGAAGAGATAGATCTTGGTCAAGAATGCTCGGAGCTCAGTGGATTCAAGATGGTATCGATGCTCTCGATGCTGGATTGTTCGATATCGAGGGCATACGCACCGCTATTTATGCTTCAGGATGGAGGTCCTGTGCTGGCGATGGGAGACATGCCCGGCCGCCATCATCCCGTCGTTGAACCACTGATGGATGTTTGTGACCCATCCATCAATCGATGTGGTAACACCCCACCCAGCCGGCGTCCAACTATATTGCCACGATCAACGGAACCCATTCTTCTTGCCGCTAGAGCATTGCGGAGACCGGTTGCTGCAATGATACCCATACCCTAGGCCATGACCGGCGTCCGTCTGCAACGACATCACATCTACTAGGGGGGTATTAACCGTGTTGTGGCTCGTCAACCGCATATTATCTCCTCTCCGGTCGAAAATCACTCATCTTCCTTGTTCCCGTGTTTCAGCCAAAAGGTTTTCATGGCGGCTGGTTGATTTCTTTTGGAAGCACCGAGCCTATACTTGCGGTTGAGTTGAAAAAATGTGAAGCGAAGGTTCGTCACGTGGTTTATACTGGATGTTGAACCACTTTCGTTTCCGCCAGTAGCTCACAACCCTGGTTAAGCGATTGGCCAATGGTGCTGGTAAATTCTCAATCTCGACATACGAACGACTTGAGGTTTACAAACTAGAGTTCTGTGCCGTCAGCGTCCCATGTACTACCCTGAACAGACGGTAGTTACGTGCTGTGACATGCATCGACTTGGACACCTACAGACCCTTACGACACCCCATTGGTTTGTACCAGTCAAGTTCATGGAACGTCCACAGACTGTGTTTCGGTCTTCACGGGCAAATCACTCTTCGCCTTCTTTCCTTGGATGGTCTTCGGTTTTCCCTTTTCATCACAACTAATCAGTGTGTGTAGCCCTCAGCATTCCTACGGATCCGTCTCGATCGTCCTTTGCCTCTCCATGGCATGCAGCTCACCGCTCTTGGCTGACACTGAATTGCCAGCCCATTGCCAGCCCATTGCCAGCCTATTGCCAGCCTCCTTACCAATGGCTTGAGACATCATGGACCAGTCACCTTATCTGTCTGGGCTGCAACGTGCTTTCCTGGGAACCTTGCCCGGTCATACCATCCACGATCGTTCAGTTCACTAGCAATCGGCGCATGCATGATGCATAGCACCGTAGGCTCCACTTTCATTCAGCTGATCAATCTCCGCTCAACGGCTCGCTTTTCCCGAGTCCGGCCTATTGTTGAATTGCTAACCATGCACGCTGACAAGACCTGCATCTTTTAGATAACAGAATGGCGTGAAGTTAATCCTGCAACCTTGCCCGCCATCGCATATCGAGTCAATCATCTGGGCCTCAGAAGACGCTAGAACCGGCCAAAACATGCCCCATCGGAGATCCTCTGACGTGGCGAACGCGGTTTGGTTGATCCATTGAGGACGCCATATATCCCCGGGCAGACAGGTTGCAATCAATAGTGAGTTTGACAAAACTGGCCGCCGCCCTCTCGCCCGTCTGGCCCCCATTATAGGACTAGGAATGCTTGCACACGGCTCACAGGAAACATCACAAATTGGCAAGATCAGACATTCGGCTGGGTGTTCTCACCGGTTACCCCACCGTGGATCGGTTGCTGAAGGGCACAGAGTGGCCGGAGATTCATACGCTTTGACACACATGGTGGCGGGATGCTGCAAGACGCTCTGTCCTTCTCGGCGTTCAAGCCTGCCTGCCTGTCTGCCTACCTCCCTTTCAAAAACAAAGATGCAAGCATGGATTCGTCTAGCCAATGTTCCTCCACCGATAGATTATGTCTCACCCTCGACAGTAGCTCATCTGACACTGCTTTGCACAGATTGTGTCTTTATGGCATGGATGAAGCGTAAGAGTTGCCGTTCCATACAGTGGATATTGCCTGTTGTTGTTTTCTCTCAACTAGGACAAGCCCGTGTGTTCCGCGCGCATGTGCTGCACAACGCAGAACGAGTAAACAACCACAGAACAAACACAAGCTCCCTGACTTACGAAGATAGTCCACCAGCCAATTGAACATTTTCTTGAATTTTTGGCCCCCTCTTTCGTCTCTCTCGCTGATTTGGTCGTGAATTGAACCACACACAAATTTATTGATCATAATGGGCTCCCATATCTTTCGTGTGAAGTCGTGCTTCTCTCCACTTGATGGGCAGACGTTGGAATTTACTATGGATAGAGCCGCGCAAACTACTCGTCATGTGAACTTTAGGAGATGCTGGGTAAGACGCAGTGAAGCGAGCACCTGGTGTCGGTGGAGGGCATCTCGCACACAAATTTGAACCCGGGACTAAATCAGGCTGTGTGTGCGTCAACCTGATTAGCAGACACTACAGTGCACCGGTCTCGCTTGACACCACTGCGATTGGACGATAACTGACCTCGTACTGTAGTAGTCACGCAGGTAGGGTTCGAGGCAGTGGTGAATGGAAGGACGCGGAAAATGTGGTGGGTCGAGAGGCTGGGCTGCGTACTGTAGATTGGGCCGGGCTGCACGAGTGAGATGCGAAGGTGCGGATCCTAGGCAAATGGGGTGGTTGGTCAGAGAGGCAAAAGACGTCTGTCTGCTGCCGAGAGTCTGGTAGAAATTGAGTTGAATGGAAGAATCTTGGGCTGGGGGCAGTACGTATGACTACGAACGACCACAAACTCTCTCTTCAGTAGGCACCTGGGGTGATTGCTCCATCTTGCAATCACACGCCTGAAGATAAGACAACAATGAACTGGTTTGCAAGAAATGACTCGGGTACGGAAAGGCGTGCGGAGAATTGAGGACGTTTTATCCCCCCTCCATCGACAGCGTCATTGTGAGTGGCGGGGTCAAGATTTTCGTTGCTGACCTTGTGGGCTTTTGACGAGCTCATGCATGAATTTGCTCGCCTGGTCGAAATGATTAAGTGGCTCTTGATGGACTGCTCATGCACAGCATGCACCCATAGCCTAGCCGCATATGCAACAGCAGGCATCTATGAATGAACCTTTGTGAATCACGCCCATTGGTTATTACACAATAGGTGTTTAATAACCCTCCGGAATGCGTATCACGAAGACCCTGAGCTTAAGATCTTGAGGCGATGCTAAAGGCGATGCCCATCCAGTCGTCGGAGGCGCTGGCAGTAGCACGGAATCTAACAGGTGGAAACAGAGGAATTGAGTGCTGCATTACGTTAAGTTCAGTCTTGCACCGCTGCTGATGGGTAAAATGAAACGTGGTGGCACATTTGTATTACGATGTGCAGTGACGCTTATTTTGATTGTTCCCAGGGTCGCCTTTCTCGACGTCAAAGAGAGTGAATACCGCCGGCCATCACCACCCTTCCAGCCTGGCTCCATGTGCCATATCAAGTTTTCAGAGCCATTGGCGAATACATAGGACTATCTTTAAGTACTGGCGTCTATCCCGCTAGACAGGCGGGGCTGCCAAGAGAAAGAAAAATAAACCGGTCCCATCTGCTGCTATGACGCCCATGCGCACTTGCTCGTAGTTGATGTAGAATGTTGCCTTTCCGGGAGCGGTTGGAGTTGCTATACGTATCTCTAGACCTACATCGGTGCCGTGCAGGACTACGAACCCGAACGCCCGTCACTCTTTCTCTAGTCGCATCGTGAGTAAGACCATTGGGATAGAGGAACGGTGAGATTGGAAGCAATGGGTGTGGACACAACGCCCTCGGATTTGATGGAATGCCACATTGGGTTTCTTCTGCTTGAGGGAGTTTGTAGAGGATAAGATTTCGCTGCACTATCATTTGACCTCCTTACGTTGTGCCAAATGTACAAGAGGAATGTTTGAATTACTAAGAACCTTGCCGGTTACTGAGGCCAGGATGCTACGTGATTAGCGCAGTTTGAATGCTAAAGGGCGGTGACGAAGCTGCGAATCAATAGGGCCGATAGAACCGCGTCGACCCAGTCTCGGCATACCTGCATACGCCTGATCATCGTATAGAAGAGAGCGAGGCTGTACGTTGGAGAATTCGAGAGAAACCATTACCGTGAGAGCTTGGTAAACGAATGAGGTCTGTGCTCTCCTGTCACCAAAACATTCATTTTCCAATGCTGGGAGTAAGACTTGCAAAGCGGCTGTTTTAATGTGAAATGCATTAAGATGTTCGATTCCGTTGAGGTTCGAACGTCTCGGGTCTCGACTTCGAAGGATTCGTTAGTTTTCGGGCGCCTTCCGAGGTGAAGAATATGCGTCGCTGTGGGGTACGAGCCGGAGCAAAGCGAGATGTCCGGACAGAAGTCGTCGTCTACTTCCGATGCAATGCATATGGCTGTATTCGCTATCGGAACGGCTTCAGAGCTATCTTCCATAGCTTCCATTTGCGAAGGACCATTAAGTGGCACAGCTGCATCTAGTGCCATAGTTTGCATTTTGCGCAGGCCGTTTCGTTGTTCAAGTTATTCTGGTGGGGTCATTCACATCCAATTCATGGATACCTCAAATTGTCGTGCTCTGCTACCAAGAGTTCTGTCGAAATCCGCCCTCCACGACGTCTGTCAACTATCACAACCTTGAGTTAACGTAGGATTAGGGTTCTTGCAAACTTGGTACACTAAAGCTCGGGCAACCAAACTATGCCGCATCTGGTTCTGATGGATGAAAGAGAAAGGAGACCTCCACATATGTGGAGTCAATCTTATCGTCTTGACTCGTCACGATGCGAGTCATGTGATCTAATTGATGGCTTATAGGGCTGAAGGAGCCATCTGACGGGGTTGAAGCCTTAAAGGTGAGGTGGCCTGAAATATGACTAAGAGGCGTCACAACAGCTGCTTCTTTCTGACGGTCGACCTCATCGATGATGGCTGAAACGGGATTGAATAAGGCAGAGCTCTTCGTTATTTATCTGATCGCGGTTATCGTGCAGTACATGATCTGGATCTGACTACAGCGACCAATCAGAATTGGATCTTGTCACGCATCTAGATCGCCATAGTTTACATGGAAGGTCTCGTGAAACTGCGAAATGGTCTTCTTGCGATTGAAGATGCATTGGCTTCATGTCCGCTCTCATTGACATTATGGTACGAAAGACGAAACGAGGCTCAGACCTTGTCTCCTGGTCCCTCAGCCATACTCGATCGTATATGCTCATCTCAATTCTCCCAATCAATTGATTTGTTCAAGCATTTCTAAATGTGCCATCGCGTGGTCTAGATCAACTTGATCATTTGGTAGTACCAAGAAACTTTCGGATTGGCTAGTCTTGTACCTGAGGCTCTTCCTCCTCCCTGCCAGTCGAAGCTCGGCACTAAACCTAAGATAGTAAAAACCCCTGAACACAGTTTACTACCGTTTTCGGGACCTCATCATTTGATAGACAATTGCCACTATTTTGATACAGAACCAGAAATAAGCTGTCGTTGTATCGAATGCTGCGTATAGGGAGCGCGCGAAAGCCCCTTAGTAGAGGAATGTTTCAGTCAGCCTTACTTTAAGTTTACGGCATTGCAGCCAATAGTAGGCCGCGTAGGGCACTATTACTTTTCTTGGCCCGTCTTACTTCCATTCTAGGAACGAAGTAAACATGACTCCAACACTTCACCTGGACGTTGATAACGGCTCCGTCCGCAAGTCAAGAACTTATTGTTGGTAATGAAATGCAAAGTTTTTGTCGTCGAAAAGGCATACAGTGCGTGATGGTGAAGATCCTCATATTTCTATTTTACTTCTACTAAAGTTCAAGGGAAAGGCAGACAAGGAAGAGTAAAAGCACAGCGCATGATTGATACAAGGTACAAAGAAATCTATATGGAATGGAAAAGACCGAAATAACTGTTACAATAATGGAGTTCACCATTATCATCTTCCACGCTTCAAACTCTCAACTCTAGCCTTCAAATCCCTCGCGAAAGCTCCGAATCTCTGCTGCCGCTGCGCATGCTCCATCGGCATCTGGTCCTCAAGCCAGAAACACATCCATCCAGTCTGCTCTTCCCCCAATGCAAATATCGTCGACAAAGCGGGCGGGTTGCTTTCGGGTCTCTCCTCGCCATCTTCTGGAACCTTGTACCGTCTTGGATTGAACTTGAAGTAATGCTGTCCAGTGAAGGCGCCCGCTGCAGATGACCCGTGGAATCTGAATTCGTTTGCCGTGTTGCAGGTGATGGTTGCGTGGATTGTTTCCCTGACGTCGACAAAGGTCACGAATATCTTGCCTCCAAGTGCAATGCTGCCGGGAGGCGCTTCTATTTTTGCTATGAATGCATTGTGCCATTCGTGATAACGGGGGAAGTCGAGGACCTGCATAAGGCGCATATTATAAGCATATATTCAACGGATTTTGAGAGAACCACGTACCACAGCTCGAACCTCTTCTGGCGAAGCAAGTATTTCGACTTCAACGTGCATTTTGATAATGTGAATTTGCCGCGATTTGATTTTAGAACTGATGTCGTGAACTTCGGCCGTATTTATAATGTCCCTAACATTCACTCTTGCGCTCGGTAGTCTGGTTTAGCATCGGAGGCTGTGGTTTGCTTGGCTTACTAAGACCTCAGACCTCGTTGTAGAAGGCGTGCAATGAATCTTCCTTTAGGGTGACGGAAGCTCGTTGATTGGAATCTTTTCAAAGCTTATCGTGGGAGCCAAGAAAACTCCCTTCTTTGATGTACGGTCAGAACACTGCGGCAGGAACGTCAAACTACGGAGTTGTAGAGCTCACACGTAAGAGGGATGAACTGCGGCTCGATCACCTGTTGCAAGTTATCACTCAGGGCTTTCAAGTCCGTTTTCCATGTTTGTTGATATGTGGTCATGGGTGTCTATTGCTCTAAATGGCCTAGCATTTGTGTCGGGCGTAGGCTTGTACCAACGTATCAACATGGGCATTACTTCGCTAAACAGAAACATTTGGAAACTACAGGTAACTATGGATTCATTGATATGGCTTGGTATCATCTTTCGATATTGTCAAAGAACTCCATGATGATAGCGGTTGCCTTAATTGAAGCCGGTCCTTGTGGGACAGAAATCTGTGATAAATTGATCTCCGTATCAGCCCAGCAATGACCTGTTGGGGGTGAGTGAATATCTCGAATGTACACTTGCAGTAACACCTGCTCACCTAAGCGTTCGACTTTGTAATGCTGAAGCAGACCGGCTTTGCCATTACAAGTCCATGAGTAGTGATGGACATCGCCCTCGTGAGTCACTTCTTCCGTCTTATTTTGGCAAGTGTATCTCTGTGCCCATGTGTCTAGCCTAGGTAATGATCGGATTAGCAATTTACCACTTGGCAAAATATAAGAATCAAGTGTGTGTTTACCAAGATGGAATAGATGGGAGCGGCCCACCGTCTCCCTGACCTCCTTCGTAATGCACTGTACGATCTCCGAAACCATGAATTTCAAGTATCGGAACAGTGGCCTCCGACTTGCATTGACTTGTCGAGTCATTTAGATCCGTATAGAATGCTCCGGAAGACGCGGCAAAGCCAGCGAATAATTGACTTCCTACCTTGCTACAAGCCAACGTACCAACGAATCCCCCACCGTTGGACATACTTTGGCCTGTCAGACACTGTGTTACTTTAGAAGAGAGTAGGCGTTCAAACGTACCCTGCTGCATAGATACGTTTCTCGTCTACACAAAGCCTCGCCCGCAAGTCCTCTACGACATCAGAGACATACTGCACGTCTTCGTCGACCGTGGAGTCCGTGTGGTAAGTCGGTCCTGCCCAACTACCCCCAACTCCATTCGGATACACCATTATCTTCTAGACCTGAATCAGTAATCTATCCAATGACCTGCCCCCATTTGGAAATACATCATACATCACCACTGAATCTGGTCTCAGACATCTTCGTGTCGAGTTCGAAGAATAACCCTGTGCTGCTCGACCCATGGAATCCAAGTACGACGGGGTATCGCCTGTTTTTATCGTAGTTTGATGGGAGGTGGTATGAGTAGCTTCGATCTTTACCGCTACTCTTGAGACTGAATCGGTACTGCGTTATACCTGGCAGAATCTGCGTTCTCCCGCATCCAGACTCTGCGCGCGGAAGCGCATGCGGCGACGCGGACGCAGTTGCTAAGAGCAAGAAGGCAAATATGTAAGCGTACATTTTGACTACGAAAGTGGAGTTGGTAGTGCAGAACCAAGCATCGCGGCCGATGGATAGTTCGTGAAGATAACTGACAGCTCCTGTGAAAAGGAGTTGCAGGTTTGGGCAGGTGGATGATATCCTTGTTTGATAATTGAAGGAATATGTAGCTATGCGACTTCATTGGCTGTAGCATTGAAGGGGGTTCATTTCTGGCAAGTCGGCGTGGCCAATAGGAAGCACTTCTTCATCGGGGTGGCGAGTGCAGATCGTGACTAATGAACATCTCAGCGGGGATTTGGAGCATTAGGAATGAGCTTTGTATATGTTTTTAGATATTAATTATTACTTTTGCAATGTCTGTTTTGTTCGCATAACTAATAACCACCAACGTCAATGACCTGATGGCCAGGGCTGGGAGGCACTTCTCCACTCTCCCATACCTTTTGCTCGGTACCTAGATGGAACAGGATTTCTCCACCTTCTGTCATGATGCCTCCTGCATCCTCATGATTGAACCAGTTCTTGTCCCAAGCCTGGCCGTTGATGTTAACGCTCTGTACGTAATAGCTTTGTTTACCGTCACCGTCATCAAGTCCCTCTGCTCGGATACGCAGTGTGTGATTGTGGTTCACTGTGATATTGATATCCTCGAACCAAGGACTTTCAATCAGGTACACTGGCGTGGTCACGACAGGATACAGACCTAGCATCTGCCAGACCAGCCAACAGTTCAGTGCGCCAGCATCGCTGTTTCCAGGGATGCCTTGACTTGTATTGAAGTAGAAGTCGGTGGCCAGTTGACGTGACCGTTCGACAGACTTCCATTGCTTGTTCAGGTAGTTGTATAGGTACGGAGTTTGGAAATCTGGTTCGTTCGCGACGTTGTTGATGGTCGTGATACCGAGACCGTTGACGCCGAGATCCACACCGGAAGTGTTTGGCTGGAAGACGTAGTCAAGACGCGATTCGAAGTGTTGCGGACCGCCCATCAACTCCATCACCCGCTCCATATCGTGAGGAATGACAAATGAGTATTCTACGTTGCATTAGTAAACGGCAACGAAGAAAAGATCACCGACTTACCAAAGGAAGTTCCTTCATATGATTCGTCTGACCAATTACAATCACCACAGTCTGTTATATCGTAGTCTGTGTGGAAGCTGCCGTTGGCATAGCGTGGCATCACAAAGCCGGTGAAGTTTCGACTCGTAGCTGTTGGATCCCAGCTGAGCTGCCACCCGCCGCTTCTCTTCAAGTACTTGTCAACATCCCCTTGAGACTCGCCTGCCGCGATTTGACTAATTGCGAAATCGTTTAGAGCGTATTCGACCGTCTTGGACACAGCTCGAGATTTCCGATCGGTGGAGACGTATCCAAGTGAGATCCAGTCGGACAATGCCGAGCGCCCATCTTTCAACGAGCCTCGTTCATCTACTGGATTCTGATCGAAGTAGGGTTGTACCTCGGCATTCTTCTTGACTGCTGCGTATCCATCTGTCCAATTGATAGCTCCTCGGAGTCCCTTGACATAGGCATCGGCCAACACGTTATCGACGTTTGAGCCACCTTGTACAAGTCCATTGTAGTTACCACTCCGTCCATCAGGCAAGAACCCTTCATTTCTCCATATATCGATGAGAGACCTAATCATAGACTCGTAGTAGGAAGGTTGGATCAGGTGCCATAATGACACTTGATTTCGGAATAGATCCCACATGGTGTAGAAGTCATCCCAGCATGGTTCCTCGCTCTCCCAGAGCGGATTCTCGTTGATGCGTTCGCTTGGAATTAGGTGCATGAAATAAAGTGATGAGTAAAGAAGTGCGAGCCTCGTTTTGTTCGCCTTCTCAGATGTATCGACTCGGATCTTAGAGAAGACATCGCGATTCCACTCATCTCGAGCAGCTTGCGCAACTACCTCGCTGTTCCAGTCTGGAATTTCTTGATTTTTGTAGGCACAGGCCTGGGCGACGGACATCAGTGAGATGCCGACCCTAGATTTTATCTCTTGGTTATCATCAGTGCCGTTCCATGAAAATATTGCCCCCACGCGGTCATTGATGGGACCAGAACGTGCCGATGTTCCTCGGAAAGTCGGTTCTGGTGTGGTAGCATTATCGAAAGATCGAAAATGGCGACTGACGGGGAATGTGTTCTTCCCACTGAATGCTCGTGCACTGTCCGGAATCGAGTCAAATTCTCCACACACATATACTGTGACCGGAGCACCAAGATTCCACCCGCCTCCGATGCTGGTATACCCAGAGTACGTAGATGAGTTCGGCTGGATCTCAATCTCCCCGCCAGCGTAGAATTGTGAGTCCCAAGCACGAGTCGGATGTGGCAAGTAATGAGAGAAGTCGACCAGAACATGCTTCTCAGATGAGGGATATGTATAGTGATGTAAGCCTGCGTGTCTGGTTGCAGCGAGCTCAACAGTAACACCTGATTCAAAATGCGTCTTGAAGTAGCCCACCGACGCGACATCGTCCCCATCCTGTCTAATATTAGTAAGCTGAAATATCAGCTCTGAGGGTTTCGCTTACTCGGTCTTGCCAGTAAGTGAGGTTATCAAGTAAATTAACACCTTCAAGGCTAGCCAGTGGCATCTGTGCAGGATAGCCTATAGTAATCGTTAAAGTCGATTCCAATACCAACATGAGCCACACTAACCATACTTGGGCCCACCACCTGTGCCAGACTGATGCATCATGCTGATTCCTGTTACTTTTCCTTTGGGGGTCCAACCGCCGTTCAGCGCACTTTGGTTGACAGGTATTTCAAAGCTGTCTAATCCAAGCTTGACCATACCAAAAGGAAGCGCGCTTCCAACGAATACATCGCCTCCGCCATCTTGCATACACGTTAGGATCTCAACCTCTAAAATAAGTCCATGGGCTTACACGCATAGCCTTCAATTGCACCTTCGGAGCCAATGAAGGGATTTACGTATTGGGAGTAATCCACATCTTGAGCTGCTATGCATTGAACAGCCGCAGCTGTCAAAAAGATTGTCGCAATGCGCAATGAAGGCATAGCTATATGCTCCATTGGTGTTGAAGATTAAGGTACCTTTGCCTGCGCAATATTCGCAGGTGCTGCTGCGCGGAAATCCATGGGTTATAAGCAATGAAGCGGTCACGAACACCCCGCTATTCTGCGCATATCCACCCGAGGGCACAAGGTGGAGAAGAGCTCCAAGCCTTTGAGGTTACATTGAGTTCCCGTTGATCAAGGCAATTCCTCTGGAGAAAAGCTGACAGTGACGTCGTATTGGCTGCCCCTCCTTCTCGAAATGGTCCCCTGCCAAGATGGAGCGAACCGGTTGGAGAACGGTCAATCCATTGGCCGGTGGGATTTGGCAATTCACCACCCAACTGTGCCAACTACCACTAGACTCCACACTTTGCTTATCTCTCCGCACTTTGTCTTGACATGTCTTGATCTACACAACTGCCGCTATCATAATCTGACGATGGCACGTAATTACGAGGTACTCGTAAACAGTCATCGTTCCTCGGCGACCTTCCCGTGTGGTCTACCTTTGGCCTTGTTTCCCTCGTAATAATCGTATCCTGTTCCTCTCATGCAAAACTCCTGCACAAATTCACTGATGGAATTGCGAATTATGCATCAGAACAAACTCTCTAGTCCATGAGGTGTGTGTACTACTTCATGTCTTCGATTATTTGGACTATTTAGAGATGCTCAGACTAAATATCCGATGATGTCATATTCATGTGCACATACCCATCTTGCATACAGAAACGGCTGGTGAATGTCTTTCGAGAACCGCGTATATATTTCCAGGTTCTTCTCAAAGCAATTCCCAAACTTGCCAAAGTCTTTATCTATCAGGATAATTGTAACAAATAACACCAAGTGTGCATACAAATTCGAGACTCGTAGAGCTATCTTTCTGTTTGATGTAGCATTTCAAAGGGAGTCTCACCTTGGTGCAGTTCTTTGGTCGCGACCGAAGACTTCTGACTTTCGAAATGCTACATTGTTCCGTGGGTGTCAATGCGCTGCGAACATCGTTGAGTCTCGTCCTTTGCAACTCCGAACTCGCGCAAAGCGAAAGATTCAATACTTCGTTGGTGGCCAACAATGACACATAGGTCAGAGTAGAGGCAAGGAGGAATACTTTATATTGACCTTTCCGATTGACATTATTTTAAGTAGTGATTTTTCTTCCGAGAAAGGGCAGGTTTAGTCGGGGCTTTCGGACGAAAAGTAGGAGTTCGAAACTATCGTGATAAGTTCTCCACTGCAAAACACGACCCTGTCCGTGGCTTGATTAACCTAGAAAGGAGATGATTTTCAGGAAACCCGATCATCTGCAAGATCCGAGGGGAATAAATAACTCGTGTTCGTAGGACTTTCGGAATGATGCTCAGATAGTCCCCTCTTCACCCTCTGCGTCGCGTTTGAGCTTGATGTGATTGCGCTTCAGATATGAAGTGACGTTTTGGCTTGTCCGGACCCAAAAACCCTTTCTCCCGTCGCAAGAATACAAAGACATAGGTATAAAAGCGAGATCTTGGCCTCCGACAAGAAGACATCAGACAATTCCAACTTACTATCTGAATATCCTCTTTCCTTTCTTTCGCGTCTGTGACTGCGTTCCGACCTGGTGTCGTTGATCATCTATTTATCGAGACCATTCATAGCAATATACCCACCACCTTTTATTCCCGACAAAACAATTCTACAACGAAAATGCGTTTCTCTCTTACAGTCATCTTTGCGTGTAAGCTCTAGATCATTTTCCCACATGACAATTTTACCTGACATCATTACAGGCGCGGCCTTGGCTGTTGCTCAAACTCAAATTCCAGATTCCGAGGGCCCTGCAAATGTTGGAAAGGGTAACGGCAAACAATTCATTACTGGTCGCTGTGCCTCAAACGCGGATTGCAACAGCAAGTGCTGTGCAGATGTGAGCGAATCGTTGGGCCTCTGTAGCGCAGAGTCCCAAGCAGAAGTTGGGAAAAAGAAGGGTTGCGGATTTAAGGCGAAGGATTCTGACGTCGAGGCGGCAACCAAGGGCCAAAATAACAGGCGTGGATTCATCAAGGTTGTAAGAAAGGATGTTCATCAAGAGCAGGATGAATGAAGTCATGGCTAGGCATCATTTCTAGTCTATCTATACCCTACCTGCTTTAGGAAAGAGTACAGCGCGTTCAATTGCATTGTGCAGCAAGTGCCAATACCGTTCAGAAGTATCATATATTTCTCCATTTGTATCTATACACAATTCGGTTCCAGTGGTTACAAGGGCGCGGTGTTGTTAAATCCTTCTGAAATTTGTATGAGAGTGACTACTTACGACCTCGTACTTCGCATAAGTAGGCTCATCCTACTAGGATCTAATCTTCTTGTATTTTTAGTAAAAATAATATTTTTTTCTCAATAGCAAGTCGCGACAATGGCGCCCGCATCGCCTCCGAACAGGTCTCATGTAACGAATGAAGTCCGTCGGAGTTAAATGCCACCCTCGGTTGCAAGCCTGCGTGCGAGTTCTGTCGCCTTACTTCCAGGAAATGTAGATTTATGGTGTACAAAGCGGGACAATCGCATCAGCCATTGGAATTTACAATCAGCTTGTTCAACATTCAAGATAGAATGGCCATTGGGCAGTTGTGCAAGGAAGAGGAGAATCAAGACGGTGGGAAATACATATTGGCAATGGCGCATACATTGCCGATCACTATGTATCGGAGTCCACGTAGTCGTTTCCTGTGCCAACCTTTACCCACTGGCTAGCATAGAAAACAGTATTCTTCGAGTTTCTGCGTGCGACCCAAAGAGGGTATTTACGTATCGTATCAGTTCAGAGGCGTAGAGCGATGCGACGTAGCATTGATGACATTCATGGCAGCATCCTAGATTTGGGCGTACTTTGACAGATGAAACCACATGATTAGCCATTGGTCACCGACACCATTTCGAACTTAGAGGGTCGCATATGGACACGAATTTGTATTTTAGTATTGGGGTCAATTTGTACGATTAATCCTCGATGAGACGTGGTGATGGGTACCTAACATTTTGAATGGTAGTGGCTTGAATTAATAGGGTACTGACAGAACGGGTGTTTGGCTTGGTTTGGGGTAATCTGATTGGCTGGGGAATAGTTACAGCACGGGCCCTCCGACGACGACATTACTCCAGAAAAAAAAAGTCTATCCCACTGAACAAGTTACCACCAGCGGTTATTGCGCGAGACATAGATTACCACACTGCCAATATGCCCAAAAGAAAGCGATCCGAACCTTCGCCCTCGACCACTGCTGTCAAATCCGCCAAGGTCTCCACGACAGACCATCGATCCCCTCCAGTCCAACGTAAACTTTGCGCCGCACGCCTCACAGCCGGGACCAGCGCACTTGTCCTTGCGCTTCGACATGCCGCCACGTTAGAACGCCAGAAGCATTCCCGAAGACGCAAAACGGCTCTTCAGAAAAACGAGGATAAGGCGGTGGACCGGCTAGAAAAGGAATACGCGGTCTTGAAAGGCCTGGATCTACAAAAGGTTGCGGAAGGCCATTTGAAGAAAACATTGGCTCGTGTAAAGTCTTTGAATACTGCCGAGGGATTTCCACGGGAATGGAGGGATACACCGGGCCAAACGAAAGAAAAGGAAGACGCGGTCTCGCTGAATGTTAAAGCACGACTGTTCAAGGTGCAGGGCGTCAGGAACGTTGTGGACGAGACGATTGACGATCTGAAGGATATCATTGGGACATCCACCAAAGGCGCCCAAAAGAAGGGCCAAGACTCAGAAATTCACAATACCAAAGCAGGTTCCAGTGTCTCGGACGAGGAGGATGACGAGAGCGAGGAAGGATTGGCAGGAGCTCTTCGGGCATTCGACGTACGCATCGCCGCACCGTCATCTGCAGAAGAGGACAGCGATGCTTCGCTCTCAGAACAAGACCGACCTCCGAGTGTCGACTACAGCGATGTCGAGTCACCAGATTTATCAGAAGAGAGCGAGGGTGACTCCGACAGTGAGAGCGCAATCGACATTCCAATGTCGAATGCAGCAAACAGTGACTCCTTCGAACAATTCGAGTCCGAATCAGACTTAGAAAAAGAGGATGTTGCGAAAACCAAAAAGACCAAAGTTCCAGTGACAGAAACTATGACTAAAGCGTCCACATTCTTGCCGTCTCTCAGCCATGCTGCCTACCTGTCTGGATCCGAATCAGAGGCGTCTGATCTTGAAGAGCGTTTAGCACCGAAGAAGAACCGACGCGGCCAACGTGCACGCCAAGCAATCTGGGAACAAAAGTATGGTGAGAAAGCGAAACACAAACAGAACGAAGATAGAAACAAAGGATGGGATCCTCGACGTGGTGCGGTCGATGAAAGCGCAAGAGGTCGACGGGGCGCTCGAAATGAGCCTCCACGAGGACGTGGGCCTGAAGTGAGCGGGGAGAATGCAATGCCTTTAGGACAAAAGAAGACTAAGAGAGACGATGGAGGCCAGCTGCATCCTAGTTGGCAGGCTGCAAAGGCGGCCAAGGAAAAGAAGATGAACGTCCAACCTCAAGGAAAGAAGATAGTGTTTGACTGATACCCATGTAATACAATTCTTTCATAGATCACTCATCATTATGAGATTATTGTATGTGATTCTCCAACAATTCAAACTCCACTTGTGGAAAGTGTTCTGTTTCCCTACTCAACCTGAAAACACCGGTACGTGCTCAAATTTCAAAATGGCATATATCAATACAAACTTGACGGTGCGTTCTATGACGCAGAATGGTATACATCAGTAAAGACCTCTTGCAATGGTGTTGTCAGAAACGTTGTACATGCCTATAGTATCGTATGGTTCGCTGTTTACAGTAGCGTGTGATTTTGTTGTCTTCCACTTCAGACAGATCCATCCGAAGTGCGAAAGCATTCTCACCAGCAGCCTAGAAACAGTGTGGTAACCATGGAGGTTTGTTTGTTTTCTTTTCGACTTCGACGTCATCGTAGGGTAGCAATACAATTGACTGTGTTTGTTTATTCGTTCAGTCCCAAGAAGTGATTGATGCCTAGCAGTGCCAGAGTAACCACAACTTGCCTTTACCTTTGGAGCGTTGCTGTAGATACGCCACACGTATGTTGACGGCCATTTAACGGCTACCATCACACGCTGCCTTCCTTTCCCCTTCTTCTATTTTCTCTTCATACCCCTTGAGTATCTTGGTAAGTCATTCCACCCTTCTCATGATCACAGAATCTAATACATCTAGTGAGTTTGATCATTCACACTGATTACATTCACACCATCTCTCTCATCCTTTTCTTCTACACATTCAGACAGAATGTTGAAGTCTACAGCTTTTGTGAGCACCTCTCGAATTCCTGTCCGGAAGTCTCAGCGCCTCTCACTTCCGGTACGTGTGCCGAACCAGTCGGCAACCCCCACCCCCGTCAAAGCAGCAGTCATCCAAGACAATACCATGACCTCTTTGTCGGGCTCGACCCTCACAGCACGCCAGGCGGCTCGCAACTCGCGCCTGCGCCCATGGGCAGCACCTCGCGTCACTGGCGGGTCTGCCCCCAAGCCCACGACAAGCACCACTAGCCTACCACAGCAGGCCGGAGCGACTTCTCCGAAATCAAAGTCAGTGAACGACCAGAAGCATACGATGAGTAAGCAGGCAGTCTCCCGTCAAGCAACCACCGTCGCGCCGAAGTCGATGCCAGCGAAAGGAAAGGAGGAGATGAAGAAGCACGCGATGAGTAAGCAGGCAGTCCCTCGACAAGCAACCACTGCCGCGCCCAAGTCGGTGCAATTGAAAGTTAACGACAAGAAAGAGGAGGAGTTGAGGGGGAATGGTTCTAGACGGAGGATGGATACCAGGACGAAGGGAGGAAAGGTTGGAGGAACTGTGGAGAAGAAGTCGGTCAAGCTTCCAGGAGGTAAGTGTTTTCTCTTCCTTTGGCCTCATTGATATCCAGTAACTAACCAACAAACAGCTACCGCCAGAGCCACCCCCTCTCGTTCCGCTCGTTCTGCTCGAGCAACCCATCGTTCGATCCCCGAGAGGCCTCGCTCGCCTCCACCCACCCGCCCTGACCCACCGACCTCAAGCCGCGCTGGACGGCTGATCGGACCTGACGCACTGTTCCCGTCAAATGTTGATGGAACCAAGGCCTGCAAGAAGGTACGGTTCTGCAATCAACCGACAGTGCACGAGGTAGGCTACTACCTGACAAAGCCCGATCCCAATCAGCCCATGCCAAAGGTCATGCCGGCTCGGAAGTCCCGGGGGTGCAAAAGAATGATGCAGGCGACGAGGAACGAGAGCGGCGAGGTGGCCACCATCACGCTGGACGACAAATTCCTCACCCGCATCAAGCAAGTTCGCGGCTACCTTGCCCGTCAAGAGTCAGCGGTTGGCATCCAGCCATCTTACGGTAACGACAACTTCGTCGTCGACTTGAGTCCTGACACGATTCGGTCTTCCAATATCGTCAAGGTTAACCTTGAGACCAGGATGTCCCAATCGCTTGACTTCAAGGTGCCGTTCATTCCAGCTGAAGCAGGTGTCGCCGGTGAGCAGGAGGGTTATGGTGTCTTCGGCCCTTGCCAGTTCAAGGCAGAGTGGATTGAGACTGACGAGGAGGACATTTTGGATGACCTTCTGCTCCCGGATGACGATGATAGCGATGACGGTGAGGGTGCTCCTGGCCCATGTCTGCTCAAGGCAGAATGGATCGAGACTGAGGAGGACGTTCTCGACGGGCTTGAGCTTCCCGACGACGACGACGATGACGACGAAGACGACGATGACGACGCCGTTGTCGGCACTGACGAGGGTGTATCCGGTCCATGCCTGCTCAAGGCAGAGTGGATCGAGACCACCGAGGATAACACCTTGGATGGTCTTGAGCTCCCTGAGCTCGACAGTGACAACGACACCCCCGAAAGTTCCGACATCGAGGAGGAAGCTGGAGCCGAGATGGATGCTGCCCCCAAAGCTCCATTCAAGGATCAATGGATAGAGACCGCCAAAGACAAGACCCTCGACGGCCTCGATTTCGCCCTTTTCGATGGCGATATCTGGATCTCGCCGAGCAGAGAGAAGCTCTATTCCGAGATCATCAATGATCCCCGGTTCTGCCATGCTTCTATGGCTGTCTATCGTGACTTGGGCGTATGCCCCGAGTAAGCGTCGTCGTTCGTCGGGAGTAAGGGTGGTGTACGGAACTTGGTACGGTGGACTACAAGGCAACCAGGAGGATCGGTTAGTGAGTGTTGTCCAAACTATAATTGATTTTTTTTTGTTTTGTACTTGCGAATACTGATTCGGTGATAGGCTTGGGATTTGGTACCAGCATTGGTTTCACACGACTACCTGGAGGATTGGAGGACTTTACGACTACAGACATACTGGACGACTTTCCGACTACACACTGGACGACTTCACGACTTCACGACTTCACGACTTCACGACTTCAATAGCTATACGACCTTGCGATTTTACGGACTGGGCGACTCCACAACGACATTACCCTGGCATGGATACAATCATTGGAGCGAAACATAATCTCTGTAAGTCGTATAACATCCTGATTTTCAAAGAACACTGACAAGCACTCCAGCAGGCAATTCAAAACAATAAAGACTCGCGGCGTCCTATAATCGACTTAGGGCGGGGTATGTGGTGGGACCCCGCTTTCGACAAAACTTTTGACAATACACACTGTAATACACTTTGTTGTGTTTGCTGTCATGTCTTACAAGACATGGGGTTCGGCATCCCCGATGGAACACACGCCGACTGTAGTTAAAAGGAAGTCTGACTAAAACACCGTTCGTATTGGCTTGACATTGAACATTGACATAACAACAGGACTCAGTATGGTACGCCTCCAAGCCTCCTTGACCTGATTCAAGTAATGCAGGGTGCAGGTTTTGTAGTCTTTGGTATGGTATCCTGGAGATTTCAATGTAAATCGAGGATGCAGATTCTCCAAGTACATGGTAACATGGTTCGTGAGTTGGATCGATCGACATCTTACTTACCCACTGCGATCTGGTGGCCTCGCTCCTTCTTCCCCAGGGCAATGGCAAGGACTCGATCATGGCAGCTTGATGTTCACAAATAAAGAGATATTGCAAGGAGCTCTCGTCTATCGTCCCCTGTAGAGTCATGTGAATTCTCTATCATCCCCTTGCCTTAGATTTCGACGCCCCAATCAGTCTGCCAAGCACACGTGGTATGCCGAACAACCAGGCATGAAGAGGATTCGCAGGGGTTATATCGGGGCTCGCCGTGACGAACTGATTGGAGATGTTTACGCCGTGTCCCTGAGCGACCCGTCCCATGTCCCTGTGCCTGGAAAACGGGACGGGGAAGTGCAGTGTAGGTATCTGGTGGTTGGAATTCGAGTAACATTTGGCCGCGGTCTTGTCCATCAAATCGCGCTAACAAACACACGTGCGATGCTGACTGGTCGAATCGTTATCAAGCCATCGGGCTAATCCAAAAGTAGAAGCTGCAAACCACAGCCAAGCCCGGCATGCCCAGACATTCAACCTGATTCTACCTAGAATCATCAGTTGGGGTCTTCGGTGCTGGGAATCAACCGACAAATTAAAGTCAAAGCACGATGCAGCTCCTCTCTCGCCTCCCACTGATAGTCCTAGTTCTCGACGAACTCCCCGGATTATAAAGGTCCAGGAAACCTCAATTCCAGAGTCAACGGTTCTTGTGCTTTCTCGCCCTTCCTGCTTGAAAGCATTCCACGAGCTTACGCTGTGGCCCGATTCCATCTTGTACCTTTCTTCGTCTTCGCCTTGACATAGTTATAGCAAGAGCAATTTCACGTAGTCAAGATGAGGTTCTCTATGCAATATGTCGCCTCCACACTTGCGCTATCGGCGTTGAGCTTTGTCTCTGCAGAGGAGAGTCTCTACAGCCGTAGGATGGCAAAGAGAGGCATTGATGCCAATGGCAACTACAATATCTGTATGTATCAATTGCCCGGCCGTAGTGCCTCCACCTTTTGTGCAATCATGAACTGACGAAATCTAGCTTTCTTCCACGTCAATGATGTTCACTCTCATCTTGACGAGTTCAGTTCAAGTGGTACCGAGTAAGTAATTGGGTTACCTACCAATACATAACAATGTAAGCTAACCAGCATTTAGCTGTACTCGCCCAGAGCGAGGTTGCTACGGAGGTTATGCTCGCATAAAGCACGTCGTCGAGAGCCAGCGTCCACAGTACAACGACAGCCTGTGGCTCAATGTTGGTGATGAGTTCCAGGGCACCCTGTTCTACTCCTACTACGGTGGCGAGAAGATCGCCGAAACTCTTAACCAGCTCAACTTCGACGCAATGACTCTCGGAAACCACGAATTCGATGGTGGAGATGAGGAGCTTGGCCAATTCGTTGCCAACTTGACCAATTTACCCATTATCAGCGCCAATGTTCACTCTGAGAACGAGATCCTGAACAAGTCCATCAAGCCTTACCATATCTTTGAGAAGCAAGGTATTGCGATCATTGGTGTTACTACCCAGGACACCGCAAGCATCTCCAACCCCGATGAAACTACCACTTTCGGCGACCCAATTGAGGCTGTTCAGAATGCCATTGACGAAATCAAGAGCAAGACCAACATCACCCGCATTGCGGCCATCACTCACATCGGTTATGACAAGGATCAGGAACTCGCCAAAGCCACCACCGGTCTTCAGCTTATCATGGGAGGCCACAGCCATACTCTCCTCGGCGATATGGAGGACGCCGAAGGCAAGTACCCCACCATCGTGAAGAACAAGGACGACGAAGAAGTTTTCATCGTCACTGCATACAGATGGGGCGAGTATGTCGGTTACATTGACGTCACCTACGACCCCGAGGGCAAGATCCTTGCCTACCACGGAGCACCAATCCACATCACCAACACCACGGAGCAAGACAAGGAGCTCCAGGCCGAGATCGAGGAATGGCGCGGACCCTTCGAGGCCTTCGCATCCGAGGTCCTTGGCACCACCGAGAACGATCTCGACCAGACCACCTGCCAGAAGAAGGAGTGCACCCTCGGTGACTTCATGGCGGACGCCATGTACGACTACCGCAAGAACAGCTCCGCCAACGTCTCCTTCGCCATCATCAACGCCGGCGGCATCCGCGCCACCATCGAGAAAGGCAACATCACCCGCGGCGCGGTCCTCACCTCCTTCCCCTTCGGCAACTCCATCGTCGAGCTGACTCTCAACGGCTCCGCCCTGTGGAACGTCCTCGAGGGCGTCATGTCGAAAGTCAACGTGCTGAACGGCAAGGAAGTCACCTCCTTCATCCAAGTCTCCAAGGGCATCGAGATCGAGTACAACCCTTCCAACGCCAACCTCACCAAGCTCGTCAGCGTCAAGATCAACGACGAGGACCTCAACAACAGCACGGAGTACCAGTTCGTCACCCTCGACTTCCTCGCAGGCGGCGGCGACAACATCTTCACCCCGACCACCGAGTTCGTCACCCTCGACACCCAGGACGAGGTCCTAACACAGTACATCGCGCAGAAGAGCCCCGTCAAGGTCGAGGAGGAGGGCCGCATCAAGCAGGTCGACGGCCAGAAGAACACTACCTCCCCGACCCCGACCCCCAGCGGCACTGCGGGCGGCGCCGCCCCGCCTACGTCGACGCCTGGTGCGGCTGCTGGTCGATCGCCTGAGGTTTTGGGCGCGCTGGTCCTCGCGATGCTTGTTAGCGTGTTTGTTTTGTAGATGTGAGATTGTTTTTGTCATGCGGTAGTGGGAATAAATGCAAGAAAAAGGGGTGAGCAATGAAAAATCTTAATGTACAATAATGACGAATGTATCCAATTACTTCATTCATACGCAAGAGACTCTGGATTGCGTTGCGGCCAAGTGTCTCGGTCGGCGATGCGTGTACTCGTTCTCTTCTTACTGGGCTGACTATACAATATAAAGATGGTAATGCTGATAGGCTAGTAAATAGCAGCAACAAGAATTCCAATGGCGCGAGATCGTACGTGGTGAAGATTAATATTACCAATAAGAAACAAAGAAGCGTAATAAGTAAAACCAAAGGTGATGAACTCATCACACAAAATCACGTTTTTCACTTGAGTCAAGAGGTTGATTCGATGTTAAGTTGAGAGATGTATGTATTCAACGAAGGTTTACTATATTTGAAGGAAAAAACAAAACAAAACAAAACGATTACTCCAAGAACACCGCGCTTGCTTGTATGTACATCCCATTCCATCAACTACAGCCAGTGTATGTGTGTGAAAAAATGACTTCAAAATTCCAAAGCGTCCTCCCTATCAAAGAGAAATTCCAATACAGAAAAGAATGGGATTTTGTGGCGTAGACTTCATCGTAAAACAAAAAACTAACTGTGGGAAATCATGTCGCGAAGGTTACAATTTAAAGTGTGGAAGAGATGCGTTGCGCTTAGGACAGGGTGCCGGAGCGGTCGCGTTCCATTCCGGCGGGAGCATTCCCGACCTGCTGGACGCGCTCTGCGAGCGCAGAATCGAGATTTCCCCTTGTGCGGAGAGGACTCGTTGCGTCGGCGGCGCTGTCGTCTACGTCGAGTTCTTTCTCTTTCCGCCTGACTACGTTGCTGATGACCGAGCTGTCGTCGCCGTCGCCGGACCTCTTGCGTGCCCCTTCGCCGTTGTCGACTTCGATGGTGACGTCGGTGTCCTTGGAGAAGACGCGCAAGCCCAGGACGCAGACTGCGTTCCAGGGGTCGCGCTCGAACTCGTCTTCTTCTTCTTGACGGAATCGCTGGTACTGGGCACGATCGGTCAAGAAGCGTGGGACTTCTTCAAAGCCGTCGGTATCTGATCCACAATCGCCCGAATCTGGGCCGTCAATCTCGGAGTCCCAGGAGGAAAAGTCGGATAGTTCATCCGTGGCGTAGATGCCTTCACGAGCACGGTGAGAACATGTACTTGCTCCTCGGCCGCGAGTGACTTGGATACCAGGTCTCACACCGGGAATGGGGGAGAGTGTGGCGCGTCGGGATGGAGTTGGGGATGGTTGCGTTCCGCGGCGATCTGGGCGCGGGCTGTAAGGGCGTTGAGAGGGTGTGCCAGGGCGGAATTCATCGCTCAAAGGTGTTGGGACAGGCGAGTCGGTTCTCTCCCCATCATTATAACCATCTCGTCCGTTGTATCCATCTCTTCCGTTATAGCCATCTCGGCCGTTATAACCATCACGGCCCTGGTAGCCTCCAGGCAACTCCGCATTGTACCCATCTCGACCTTGGAAAGATCCAGGCATATTCTGGTTGTAACCGCCTCGCCCTTGGAGAGCTCCTGGCATTGCCTGGTTGTAACCTCCACGCCCTTGAAGCGCCTCGGCCATGCTCTGTGGCTTTTTGAAGGCTTCATTGTAGCCACCGCGACCCTGTAGAGCACCAGGCATGCTCGCATTGTAGCCATCGCGGCCTTTGTTATATCCACTGCGGCCAGCGAACCCACCAGGGCTGGGAGAGCGGTCATGAGTCTGTTCGATGGGTAGGTTGCTGGTGCTGCCGGATCGTTGGTGCCTGGTGACAGCGGCGTGTAGGGGCTTCTCGTCCTCATCTAATGAAACGCGTTGATCTTCATCAATATTGATACCAAGGCCACTCAAGTCGGCAAGCTTCTTTTCGACCTCTTTGACATCATTGCGGGATTTCCGCGAGCTCTTAGCAGCCTTCTTCTGTTCGCGAAGTTTTTGCTTCTTCAACAGTTTGGCACGCTGCTCGTAGGCGTGTTTCATCTGTGCTTTCTTGCGCTCAACCTTTTCCTCACGTTCTCGGCGAAGCTTATCCTGCTCCTGCTCACGGAACTGTCCCTTTGCATGTGCAAGATCATAAGACAACCCAATCGAAAGTAGTTTCTCACGGCGTGTGGTACATGTTGCCCGGATGACTTCCTCCGGCGTGCGATTCGGGAGCCTGGTCGCCTTGATCTTGAGTAAAACGGTGTAATTTCCGGCTTCGAGATCCAATTCAGTAGAGACAGAACGCTTCATATAGTACGTGCCATTGCTTCGTACGATGTATTCTTCTTCGTCATCCTTGTGGAGCCTGAACTGCAGATGGAACTCATACTCGCCCTCCAATCCCAGGAAGTATCGATCATCGAGCTGATTTAGGACAATAACAACAGGACTAGGCTTAGACAAACAGATCTTGAACTTGGTATCGAGGTAGTCGACCGACCATGGGACATTGACACTAGTCCATTGCTGAGAAACGGTCCATTCCGGTCCAAACAGCCTTGTTCGGTCGAAGTGTTGGTAATGGCGGAGCAAGTCCTTGTAAGAAATCCAGAAAACGCCATCGTCGCCGAACTTGTGGTTCAGTATCTGCATCCATTCGGGAGTCCACTCCTCAGATCCGTCGCTCCATCGTCCAGTCCATTCGGTTCTGCCCCAGGGATTTCGAAGCTTCAGCAGACGATGTTCGCCTATTTCGCGAGCCTCCATGATGGAGTACGCATGCTTTTCTTGGATGCCTCGGCGTTCGCCATAGATTCCACCCATCTGTCCACATCCGAAGAGGAATGTTTTGTTCACATTCAAGAGCTCTTCGCGCCAAAACTTGTCCTTGTCGAGGATATCGGTTGCGAAAACTTCGGAGGTCACACCACCGGTCAGATCCTCGATACCCTCGCCGACGAATCCGCCTTCGATGGCGTTGTAGTCCCCGTGTGCCTTAGCATACGCCTTCTCCAAGAGGGGCAGCCATGTTTCGTTTGGATCGCTGCATTGTGCGAAATACAGCGCTCTTGATCCAGTCTGCATGACCGTACGGTATTCTTCCTCCGGGCTTTTACGGTTTTGCAACTCCAGCCATTGGTGTCGCCCTAGGGTAGCTTCGTCGAAATCCTCTTTGATCAGGTATAATTTGTCATCAATGACTTCTGAGATCCACTCTCCATCTATCCAACAATGTCAGCGTTCGCTCTATCACGACGGTGTGCGGCAATGGGTACCTCGGTGAAAAACGAATCCGTATACGCCAACCTGTTCATCTCGAGCAACACACACCCTCTGTATCAAGCCTTCTTTGTTACTTATTGTAGCGAGTGCGGACATGAACCAGCAGTCTCCGTCGTTGCCTTGTCGAACATCGTTTGCGGTAGCTCCTTCGATAAAGAATTGAGGTTTGTCAAAAATATCCTGTTCAACGGAAACATGTCAGCTTGAATCAGTGCATCGTTACCAGTTCGGGAGCGGCATACCTCAATCCTCTTGACTGACATTGGCTGGAAGGTGGACTTGTCCTCGTTCAATGCAGTCAAACAGTCCGGTGGAATCTCTGGGAACATTTGCGATCGCTTGAAGTCGGATTCGATATCGAAATGAGGATCGCGATACTTCTGGTTAAGGCGCCGACATTCCTTGACAATCTTCTCGACCTTCTTCTTGCAGGCATCGGCAGCTTCTTCATATGACGCCACAGCATTCTGTCCAGGAATGGAGCCTTTGGGTGTATGCGCCGCTGCGCGCTTTGCATAGAGGTTGTCAGGTAGAATGGTGAAGATCTTTCCAGGATGCTTGGTGGTGAAGCTGTCCCAAAACTGATCGATGCTCTTCTGTGGAGGTTGCTTCTTCACCCTAAGGCGAGGACGCTGTGCAAGATCATGAGCCATGATGCTGGGTGCTTTGGATTGTGGTCGAGTGACGTTGACCATATCGATATTGGAAATCTGCGAGTCCATGGTTTTCGTGAGCGAGACGACGAGGGTAGGCGTGGCGTGGCAGCTTGCGCTACTCTAGCTACACTTGTGTGCTCTAGATGCTGAGGACAGAAGCGGCAGCGGGAGCAATGGTAGAAGCAGGAGTAGTGAGTTGGAAGAAGTGACCCTGTGTTGCGTACATTGGGGGCCGCCAGCTCATTGATAAAGAAAAGAAAAAGATGTGAGGGAGAGGCCTCCGATAGGGATGATTAGGATTCAGCCGCAGCCATGACGGAGTAGCGTTCGGAGCAAAGAGTGCAATGTGCAAAGGTACAGCAACTGTGAGTGGATGGAGGTTGAATGTGGAGAGCTGCCACTCACTGTCGTGCTGCTGCTGGTGCTGCTGTGAGCCTGTGAGACTACCTACCCAGCAACTAGTAGTAGAGTGACCCTCAGTGATGGATGGAAGTCAGAAATAGCAACCCCCCGGTCGAGCTCAGAGATGGGATAAGTGGGTCCCGAGGTCAGACACTTGCCTTCTTTAGGTCCTAGCGCCCAGAGTCCAAGGGAGCCTGGACAGTCTAGGCGCACGGGAAGAGTTGATACAACCGAATCTCTCCTCTCTTCACCGTTCGTTCATTCGATAATACCCATTTCCCTAGTTATCTCTCTCCGTGTCTACGATGAAATTCTGTCATTTCTCACCCTCTTACTACAACTCCCTACATGACAAATCTATCCATCCAGACAGATAATCCTCCTTCCAGAGACCATGTGAATGGACGTAAGGAGCCCATACGGAGTACCTCGGCGCCCATACAGGTCACACAATGGCTGTTATTCGTTTTCCACATATTGACACTATTGACTGAGATATTGAAATCTATGGAATACCATTGGATGTAGTGTAAAATTCACAGTTACACGGTGCAGAATGCAACGCCCTGATCTGACGATCCAACGGTTCGGCGGGAGACCAAGCTTACCGCTCTTTCTTGAGTGACTCGAGATTGAGAACCCGTACGCGATCCGATTCAGCGGCAGTCACCGTACCCTTCCGTAGGGAGGCTGGCTGACCTGCCCAGTGCGCTTCTAGAATTTGTCCACTTCTTCTGTCGTCGATGAAAACCGACAGTTCTTGAGCAATCCGCAAATGACAATCATACCCAATTGCTGCGAGCCGACCATGCACCGGAACGTTGTTGCATGGAGCACATCAGCAGGAGGACAAAGATGATGCTACACGCCTGCTGCCTCATATTGATTATAGCCGCACTCACTGTTCTGTGAATATACAACCCCCACCAGTGTCCACATTTCGCTTAGCAACACTGCTGATACTAGATTGATACCATAGCGAACAGAGTGCCGCGGATCTTTGATTTTGAAATTGTATCATAGACATCGCAACCTTCTATACAATGGGTAAGCTCGTGGAGATGGTGTACATCCTGCGAATCGAGAAAACCTGGGTGCCTGCGGCTGTCCCTGCATCATATTCCACGACGTCATCCGTTGCATTCGTAATGACCCTCTTGCTGACCATCGTATCTCGACAAGCGGTCGAGAGAGTGGTTCCTTGAGTCACGGTTGCAGCGACATGCAGGACCAACAAGCTGCTCGGCTCCCAATCATGCAAACCCTCAGCCCTATGGGAATTTACGAACCGTTCCTAGCCCCGCGCTCGATACTCAGCTGACAGCTTCACCGTTGGATTTTTCCTCTGACAAATAGGATGTCCTGAATAGCGTGTTTCGTCGCTTCGTCGCTTTCACAGCCCAGCGATCGGGTACTCGGACAGGTACTCGACTGGCACCATGTGGGCCTTTCCAACGCTGCTCCCGCTTGCCGCTTGGTCTGCAGCAACGGCCGGAAGGCGATGCATGTCGGTTGCGTGAGAAGTATCGCTTTCTCCGTGTGCCGAAAGCATACTACTAAACCAGGGATCCAACAGAGCATGCATGTTCTTGCGCGAGGCTGAGCGGTGAGCACTTGGCAGAGCTTTGAACATTCGATTAAAAATGAACCTTGCAAGGCAGCCTTGCCGGACCAATCTGCTGGTTCCAGCAGTCATCAGCTGCTACCTCTCTGCGATCTCTTGCATCAAGTTGCATTTTATTTTTGCGCCGATCTGCACAAGTCTAGCTGTAGAGCTCTTGTCACGAGTAAGAATAGAGTTGTTTTGAAGAAGGCGAAACACTCATCGAAGTTTTAGTCTCACAGTAGTTATCTCACAAAAAGGCCCCACCATGGTCAGTGCAGCTGTAGATCTGAAGCACGAAACACTAAATTGTACAGGGAAATCGTATCAAAGTCTTAGATATTCTGCCTCTACATTCATCTGAAGGAAGGGAGGACACTATAGAATGCGAAATCCGCACCGTTGACCTTGGAGAATATGGATTGATGGAACAATATGAGACGCTCTCGTATGTTTGGGGTAACCAGACATCTACACTACCCATTTTCATTTCAGCGCAAAAGGTGGACGTGACCACGAGCTTATACGCGATAATGCAGCAAATTCGACTGCCTGATCACAAAAGAACATTATGGATCGACCAGATCTGTATTGATCAAATGAACCCTGCGGAGAAAGCAGAGCAGGTACCCCTCATGGGGAAGATCTATTCCAATTGTACACGGTGTCTCGTATGGCTAGGCACAATTCCACATGAAAAGCATATCTCGCTGGAGGATGCAGAGGCCGCGTTTGAAATCATCCGATACATGGCAGCTGCTTCGAAAGCGAGTACAGATGCAGACATCAATTATCGCGTGCCATCGTGCATCACAACTGGTCTGCCATCGCAAGAGTCAAGCCTTGCAGGAGCCATGCGAGCTATGTCAGCCATATCGAGTGCAGAAAACCCGTGGTGGCATCGTGTATGGACCGTGCAGGAGGCATCGCTGCCGAAACAGCTTTTACTTCTTTGGGGACCTATAGCTATATCGTGGGACACAATATGTCAAGCATCGGCTTGTTGGACTGGTGCTAAAGGCAAGTTTCCGAGAGCCGTCTGGGATTTCATATCGTCTCCCTCTTACTTAGAAACAACGAAAGCCCTGCTCATTCATTCTCTCTGGATTCAGGCTACCTGCCAGGATAAACCTTTCTCTCTTGTCCGTCGCTGGCGTCACAGGATAGCGACTGATCCTCGAGACAAAATCTATGGCTTGTTGGGTTTGTTACAGACACGTGGCAGCCTGCCCTCCGTCGAGGAATGTAGATACGATATTCCTGCAGCCGAAGTTTTCGCCAGGCTAACGATCGACTTGATCATCAACGAAAACAGTCTCCTACCCCTGATGAACGACCCCAGGCTCGAGCCTGAAATACGGACAGAAGCCGTTCAGTCCTGGGTCATGGATGTGAAATCGCTTCCTTTACATGATACTGACTGGTATCACATTTATGGAAGTCCATACTACAACGCCGATAAAGGGCTACCACCCTTGAATCTCGAGCCCTTGCGACTGGCAGTCGCGGAAGGAAGGTACGACACGCTGGAACTAAAGGGCATCACAGTCGACACAGTGAAGGATGTGCACCCAGATAGTATAATCGTTGTCAATTCCGGGAACAATGCGGAGAAGCTACGATTCGATACGCTCTTGTCCTGGTACGAAACTGCCAAACAGTCTGCAACACGAGAACCGCAAGAAACGTTCGCAAAGCTCCTCCTTGGTACACTCATCAGACACGTAGAACAGCAGCCGAAGCGTTGGGTCACTCCCGAGGACGAAGCAGACGTCCTGTCGTTCCTAGACTCACAGAGCGTGGCTTCGGAACTACGATTGACGATCTTCCACCAGACGCGGAACCAGAAGTTTTATATCACAGAGGGTGGCCGTTTTGGGCTCGGTCATCTCGACACCAGACCTGGGGATGAGGTGTGGATTTTGGGTGGTGGCTCGGTTCCATTCACGCTGAGGCCGAAAGAGAGGGACGGGAAGAAGTCTCCCTCCTCTGGTATATTTGAAGGGACATTCGTTGGAAGGACTTACGTGCAGGGTATCATGGACGGTGAAGCAGTTCCAGGTGAAGATGAACTGAGCGAAAGGAAGGTTCTTTTATCTTAATGGAACTATTGCATAGACATGCGTAGTAAATGTAGATGATATACTGCACTTGTGGGACAAGCTGAGCAGATTTCAGGAAACAGGTATCTCAATTCTTGCTCACCCCCATTTGCCGTTTTAGGATTACAGCATTTGAATAAAGAAACCGGCGTTACACCTCCTAACAGGCGATGAAAGGGTACCAGGAACCTCATCGGCGTGGTTGCGAGGGTCTTTGTTCTTTACAAAAGCCACGACCTGCACAATAAAGGAAGGCCTAAACAAAACGCGTCCTCCAGCGCCCACATGTATATCCAGCGCCCTTTTGCTCACATCCAATTTAACAGCGGAATCGTTCTTCATCCTATCCCCCAGTTCTACGCTTACACCAAGCAATCGAAATGCCTGTCGTAACCCGGTCCCAGAGTCGTCGTCTAGCTCAAGCGCAGCTAGACGCAACGCAATCTGGATCGTCTGAACCCGCCTCAAACCGCCCCAAGCCCACCGACAAACCCACCAAAACCACCAAAAAGCCCACCAAATCCACCAAAAAAACTACCAAACCCACCAAAAAGCCAACCAAACCCACCAAGAAGCCAACCAAACCCGCCAAGAAGCCAACTAAACCCGCCAAAGAGCCCATCGATCTCACTGTTCCAGATTCAGAAAGCTCGAGTAACAGTGACCCTATACGGAATTCCAACCAACCTGAACACCCTGTGGAGGTATCACTTCCGGATCCCATTCCTGAAGGAACTCCTCAGCACGTCAGTGAAGCCCAGATATCTAGAACAGTAGCCGAGAATTCAGTAGAAGCTCTCGTCAACAGGCCCACAAGATCCCTTTGGTCTTGTTCTGGAAAGGGTTGTTCCTGCCCGCAGGGAATCTTCGAAGATTTGATCGACGAATGCACTCAATGTGGACATAAGATGCTCCTTCATCATAGGAGGGGGGAGATATACCATTGGAATGTTGTAGGAGATTTTCCTTCCCCACGAGATGAGCTGATTACTTCAATTTTGAAGATAGTCAAAGAAAAGAGGTTTGTTGCCATCCGCGCGACTCCCCAAGTTGGGAATACTGCCCTCCTTATGTTACTAGGGAACCATATTCTCTCTAGTGAACCAGAGCTGGAACCTATCTACATTCGGGGTGGTGCGGATAATTCCTATCAGCCAGGAACTCCGTATCGCGAAATTTTTTACATTGAAACCCCCAAGTGGGAGCGGTATAATGATCAACTTCGGAAACGAGAGAAGTTCCCACCTAACCGGTCAATAAGACACATATACCTCATAGACGAGGCTCAAACCTCCTATGACGATGCAGAGCTTTGGGAACTCTTTCACAAAAATCACCGGCCAAGCGGCAATTTGTGCGTCCTCATTTATTCTGGTGCGCCAGCCCGCTATATGAACAGGGCGTCAGAGGCAATTAGTCACCATGCCACCAATCTCATCGATTTACGTCCGTGTGAGCGGGGGCGACCATGCATGCTTTTTAAGCTCGATGATACAATCACTGTGGTCAACAAATGGGCCCTCGGGCAACAATATCAACTCGTTGGTCTGGTGCATCGGTACATTCATGATGCCACAGATGGACACCCTGGTATAGTTGCCTTTCTACTACAGCATTATGATAATATGTTCGAGAAGGTAAGTGTGCTTTCTATATATCTTCGAGCAACAAATTGTAACATCTCATAGTACTACAAAAAGCCTTTCGTATTGTCACCAGTCAAGCATCATCTGTTAATATGCCAACACGAAGACCTATTCCTAGATTACCTGGACCGCCGGGGAAAAGGAATATGGTCATACGGAGCTGAGAAGTTCGTAAGAAATCAATTGACGACATACTGGGGACTGCCTACGCCCAAATACATCCATGTCAAACTCGCTGACGTGCAAAAGGCGCTTCTTAGCGTTGCATCCAAAGATGGCGGGTTTACTCACATACGGAATAAACTCGACGCAATCGACGCATTTGAATTTTGCCATGAGATGGGATATCTTCACGCTAATAAAAAATCCCGCTCTAGCAGAGAGACAACCTATACCTTTCCGTCTCCAATCCACCGTCGGGTTGCATATCACCTTCTTTTCCCAGGTGGAGAACCAAATGCTGTCTTGGCGAAACTCAGTCTTAGAGACGTCTGCGTCAATGCAATTGCTCGCTTCAGTCCAAGCGCACTGCAACTCCGTGAACAGGGTACGGAGTGTTCATGGGAAAGATCAGAAGTTGTACGTCGCTATGAACTATACACCTGCCTTCATCATGAAGTTTTCAATCTCCCGGTCCTATCTGAGTACTTTCATCACGAGCCTGGCCAAATCGACTTCTACATATCTTCAAGAAGGTGGAGAATCAAATTTATGCATGATGGGAAATGCACAGGGACCGATGACGAGTCAGACGACCTAGATGACTACATCATCATCAACTTCTGCCCTCGATCTCAGCTCCGGATGGTCACACTAGAAGGTAAATCAACCTCTTGCATTGCCCTATTCTTGAATTTACCACACAATACTAAATCTTGTCTAGGCGATGCTCATTATCAGGTGTTCCACGTCGTGGTGGAACCCGATCGGCGACTCGCAGAGATATACACCTATGATCTCGAGCTACACAAGTCTTGGAAGCTCAGCGAAGAGAAACAAAGGTCGAAAGCACAAGACCTAGTGAATCACGATGACTCGGTTTCGGGATCAGCCGCCAAGGCAGACGAAGACAGACGGGAACTGGAGAGGTTGCGGCTGAAGGTCCAAATAATGGAAGATAACATGGAAAGGGAACAAGAGGAGAGGCAAAGGGAACAAGAGGAGAGGCAAAGGGAACAAGAGGAGAGGCAAAGGAAACAAGAGGAGAGGCAAAGGAAACAAGAGGAGAGGCAAAGGAAACAAGAGGAGAGGCAAAGGAAACAAGAGGAG